GAGCTTTGAGAGAGAGAGAGATGAGTCAAGTGTGATGTGACGTGACGCGACCCCCACCCCCCAACAGCAACAACAGTAACCAACAAAACGAGTTGTTGGGGGTTCCAAGAAATGGCAGCCAGCCAAGTGGACCGTTGTCCCGCAAGTGGCACGGGACATGCCTGGTTGACCATCCGCTTGACATGTGGGTTTGATGACAGGCGCTGCTGGATGCTGTGATGGGTGGGGGGGTTGGTACACCGATGTTTCCACGGCACACCACCACCTGAGGGTTGAAGTGTGTGTGTGTGTGTGTGTGTGTTCAGTGGCGAGTCGGGTGTCATTTTTCATCTGCTCCTGCTCCGCGCTTCATGACGCTGCTGCTCGCCCGCGCTTTTGCTCCTGCTCGGTCTCAACTTGGCAAAGCCTTGCTACGATCACGATTCTCGACGACCGCTGCCGTTTGTAGCTCTACATCATCTGCCACCATGGCTCTCAAGGTGGGTGGCGATCATGTGTCTGCCCTCGGAAAGGAAGCTCGGGGCTTGACACTTGTGTACCACTTGACCCATGATGGTTCGGGAGAGGGTGTTGGCGGTACGCATCGTTTCGGGTCCCTCGGCTCACAGTCTGGTTGGTATAGGTTGGTGACACCATTCCCGACGCCACCGTCTCGGAGACGGACCTGTACACGACCCTCAAGCTCCGCGAGCTCTTCGCCGGCAAGAAGGGCATTCTCTTTGGCATTCCTGGTGCCTTTACCCCCGGCTGCCACAAGACCCATCTGCCAGGCTACGTCCAACGCGCCGAGGAACTCAAGGGCAAGGGCATTGACGTCATTGCCTGCATGGGTGTGAACGATCCCTTTGTCATGGCTGGCTGGGGCGAGACCGTCGGCGCCACTGGCAAGGTTCGCATGCTCGCCGACAAGGATGGTACGTATCGAGCGAAACCGGCTCTATTATGGGGGGTCACCCCCGCCGACCAATTGTGTGTCTGTTTATCGCCACCACGCTGACTGGCCTCACTCATCACTTGCCACCCGATATCATCGGTCTGTTTTGGTTTTGTATTGTAGCCTCGGCCTCAAAGGCGCTTGGTGTTTACTGGGAGGGCTCTGAAGCCATCTTCGGCTCGGGCCGTTGCAAGCGTTTCAGCATGCTCATCGAGGATAACATCATCAAGGTTAGCCACTCGTTGATCGCAAGGGGTTGGGGGCGGGGTTTCTTTTGATACCTGGGCATCTTGACCCAAGTTTGACCTCGCGCGCTTTCTTGACCCTCAACATTTTCCCGTCTCTTTCTAGGTTATCAACGTGGAGCCTGACAACGGCGGCCCCTCCTGCAGCCTGGTCGAGCCCCTGCT